CTTGGATGATTATGAGAGTTGAAGACTTCTTTTGTTTATTTTGTTTGTATTACATGAATATCAAGCCAAGGGCTTACTTTGTATAGAGTTAGTACTCTTCTTTTGTGTAACCAGGTGTTGACTTGGAAAGCTGTAAGCCCATAGGGCATTTGTTTTTGTTGTTAACATGTAATACTGTTGTAAGAATTACTCTGATGAATAGAAATGGTTGGATTCTTTTATATCAATGCATGTCTCTAGTGATGGGTTTTATGTATTTTTTTGAGGGCGTTACACCCATGGCCCCATCCCATTGGACCGCTTAAGGCCCACTCAAGGCCCGGCTCTTGGCCCAGTCCGCCAAAGGCCCAGTGTCTTTTTTTAGTGGAAAATAATAAAATTTTGGTAGAAAAAAATTTAAAAAACCAAAAAAAAAATGGTTAGGCCGTCCCAAGCTCGGCCTAAGACCATCGAGGCGGCCCATCCAAGGCCCGAATATCCCTGGGCCTAGGGCTTATTTTTTTGGCTCGTGGGTCAGCCCGGCCCGTCTCGAATTTTGGCAGGAGCCCACGAGGCCCGACATGGGCCTGGCCAGGCCGGGCCAGATTTACACCTCTAGGCTCAAGTACACCTTCAATCCAAATCCAAATCCAAATTTTTGTCTCAATCATCTCTTATCATGGCTGTCCTTTGGAAACTTTTTATTTTTATTTTTCACTAGCAAATGGTAGTTGATGATAAATAGGTAGCATTCACGAGTTTCTCTTTCTCAGTGTTCCCATAGCTATTTATGATCCATTCATCTTCCAACTCTGACTCGAGTCCTAACTATTCTTTGCCAAGGTTCTGAAAATGATGTTTTGACATATGTTGATTCTCCCCTCAACTCTTCCTCCTTTCAATTGTAGTCACTAGGTGAATGGGTAATGATATATATATATATATAGGTAGATCTAGATATTATTATTATTAGGGTAAATTATAATTTAACCACCTGTGGTTTACCCCAAAAACACGGAACCTCCTTGTAGTTTCATTTGTAACACTTGAACCCCTAGACGTTATACCATGTTGTAATTTTTGACGAGACATAGCATAAGTGCACACTGCCTGATAAAAAAGAAAAAAGAAAAAACAGAAGAAAGAGAGAGAGAGAGAGATTGCACCTAGAGAGATTTCATTTTCTCTACAATCACTCTCAGGAACAGAGTAGGTCATATTACATCTTAACATATTTTGAACTCTGTCATCTCCCTCATGTGTTTGAGCTCTGTCCTCTCTTTCATTGCCAAATCAATCTTTATTTTTCTTTTTATCTTGCTATTTCTCTTCCTCTCAACAAACCCAGTTCTTTCTTAGCTCAACAACGGCTTCATCTACAATGGCTTCAAGGGTTTAACCAACAACAACAACATAAGCCTAAACGGTGTTGCAGAGATCCTCAACAATGGTCTCCTCCAACTCACCAACGACACGCTTCGATTGATCAGCCATGTCTTTTACCCAACTCTGATCAGATTCAAGAACTCCATAGTTGCCAAAGCTCTCTCTTTGTCTATAGCTTTTGCTTTCGCAATCATTCCAGAGTACAAAAAGCTCGACGGCCATGGCTTTCGCAAATGAATCAATCTGTCGCCATTAGAGTCTTTGGGGGCAAAGCAATCACCTCTACATTTGGATCTGAAAAAGAAATAAAAAGGACACAATTCCAATTCAACGTGACTATATGAACCACCATTCGATTAGAGATTTTGAAGGGTTAGTTTGGTGATTTTACCTGGCATTCCGAGAAGATTTATCTTCTTCTTTTCTTTTTCTGGAGGTGGGTTTAGAAGAACTATTTGATTTCCTGATGAAGAGACGCTAGCTTCGCCGGAAGCTATGGAATCATGAGCTGATTTTTCATGGTAGATTTTGTTGGATTTTTGGTTTTGGCCATTTGAGGGAAAAGGAGTGTTTGTCTCTCTCTCTCTCTCTCTCTCTCTCTCTCTCTCTCTCTCTTTGTGGTTGCAATCTCTCTATCTCTTTCATGTTTTTTCTTCTTTTTTTTAATTTTATTTTTTATCAGGCAGTGCACGAAACGACATCGTTTTGCGCACTTCTGTTATGTTCGTCAAAAATTACAACATGGTATAAAGTCTAGAGGTTTAAGTGTTACAAATGAAACTACAAGGGGGTTCTGTGTTTTTTGGGTAAACCACAGGGGAGTTAAATTATAATTTACCATTATTATTATAAACCTAAAACTTGAGTTGAAGGACTTCTTGTTGTGAGTGGGTAACTCAAAACAGTAAGAAAATTAAAAAAAAAAAAAAACAGAGAGAGAGAAAAAAAAAATTGGTGAAAAATTCACTCTAATAATTGTTTAAAGTAATAGATTTAGTGACTATTTTTTGTTGGTAAAAGATCTACTTTTTGTGAAATAGTTTCGTAAGAAGTCTGAAAAGACATTTTGTTTCTAATGTTACCCTTAATTTATTTATTGATTTTTTTTATTTGTTAACTTTTTTTGTTAACTATCTGTTCAAATTTTATCTATCTGTTTAAATTTTTTATCTGCTTGTTCAAATTTATATCTATCTGTTCAAATTTTTTATCAACATGTTCAAGTTTATATCTATCTGTTCAATTTTTTCTCTCTATCTATTAAATTTTTTTTACCTATCTGTTTAATTTCATGATCTTTTCAATTCAATTTTTGTTTCTATCTATTCAATTTTTTTCTCTAAATTTTATATGTTGAAATTTTATCTGTTTAATTTTTTAATTTTTTTTCTATTGGTTGAAATATCAAGCCAAACCAAATCTATTAAAAAATTACTTATCTATTCAAAATCATCATCAACAACAACAAATCCTATTTGTTCATCCTATTTGTTAATCAACAATAAAAATAAAAATAAAAAAAAATCCTATCTATTCATCAACGACAACATCATCACCAAATCCTATCTTTTCATCATCATCACCAAATCCTATCTTTTCATCATCATCATCATCAACAACAACAACACCAAAAAATAATAATAATAGCTGATAACATAGATCTATTCAAATTCACACAGATCTATTCAACTTTGATTTGATTTGATTGTTAATTTGGGATTTTCATGTGTAGTTGATTACGAAAGAAGAAGGTTGGAGCTATACGAGAACATGATTCTAGGTAGAGGCTTCGAAGATATGTGTGATCAGATGTACTACAGAGGCAAAATGTTTTGATTTGTGCATCTCTATAACGGACAAGAAGTTGTATATATATAGAGAGTGAATCTAAAAATGTATAAATATATATATATATCGATAGAGAGAGAGAGAGAGAGAGAGAGAGAGAGTTTTGGGGAAATGAGATTTAACAGTGGTGAAGAAATGGGAGGAGGAAGACGCGTCGATCATGTTAAGGGTATTTGGTTATTTTACATGGAGTGTATTGTGGGAAAATGATTAAAAGTTATTTTTTGGTTTTTTTTGACTTTTTTGTAAGAGAGGGAAGTGGGTTAAAAGTTGAAAAGTGACTTTTAACCCACTTTCTAAAATAGGCCAATGTTTAAACATTTAGACTTTCTTGCTAACAAAATATAAATTCAAATTTATGGATCGAGTGTTTAAAAAATAAATGAAAGCCGAAAATAAATTAGTTTAAATACATTTGAGTTTACACTTAACACTTCGTTTATTCAGCTAAATTTTTTTTATTGAAAGCATCTTTTTCTAGAATTTTTTTTTCAAAAAATATTTTTTGGACAATATTTTTCAATTTTGGTGGTGGTAGTGGTGGAATAAAGGTGGAGGTGGTGGCGTAGTAGTGGTGGTAGTGATGATGGTGGTAACCGTAATAATGGTGGTGATGATAAAGGTGGGAGTAGTGATAATAGTGTGGTGACATTCAACCCTTTAAAAGTATGTTTTTTTTTTACTCAAATAGGCTTATATTCGGTTGATTATGGAAAATGTTTTCCATAGTTTTTTGTTTTTCATTATAATAAATGTTAGAAAATATGAAAAATATTTTTTACCTAAACAAACGGAGCGTAAGAGACTCTCAACTACTAATGAATATCATTTTAACCCACATTTATAAACCCAGATAAGCTAACTATCTTAACTATGAAAATTGTATAAATACAACATTTTTGGAGTCTATAGGGATAAAAAGAGTTCAAATAATCAAAATGAACAAGTTCATAAATGAGAGAAGTAAAATGATATTTGCTAATAACTAAAGAAGTATTCGTGTAAATAGCCCAAATAGTTATTAATCTCAAAAGTACGAGCCTTGTGTAATTTTGATATTCAATATTTAAATTTTGTCAATTTAATTCCCAATATATACACTACTACAAAATGCACTTTTTGGCGACCAAATTTAGCAACCAAACAAAATTTAGTCACCAAAACTTGTGGAATTGGTGACCAAAAATTTTTTTAGTCAGCAAAAGTACAATATTTAGGTACTAATTTTTTTTAGTCGGGAAATATTGATTATTGGCGACTAAAAAAAATTTTAGTCACTAAAAATGCCCACAATTGGCGACTAAAAAATGTTTTAGTCGTGGTATAGATAGTTTTGGCTACTAAAATTTTTTAGTCGCCGAATGAAAAACAAAAATTTACTTTTAGACTTTTGGTGACCAAAAATTTGGTCGCTAAAAATTTATTTTCAGCGATTAAAAAATGTTTTAGTCACTATATAGCTAGTTTTGTCTGCTAAAATTTTTTTGTCGCCGAATAAAAAAAATATTTTTTATCTTTGGCGACTAAAAATTTGGTCGCCAAAAATTTATTTTTAGTGATTAAACAATATTTTAGTCGCCAAAGAATTAAAATATTTGGAGGGATTTATAAAATTAATTGGCGACCAAAATATTTAGTCTCCAAATTACTACTTTTAGCAACTAAACAATTTCAATCGACAATAGTATATAATTTAGGCTAAAATAATATTTAGTCAAATTTTTTGCACCCTTTTTAGCGACCAAAATAATATTTGGTCGCCAAATGACATGAAATTATTTACTCATTTTTAGTTGGATTTTCCGCACCTTTTTACCCTCTATGTGTATACACCACAACCACAGAACCTCTCTCTCAACAAACCTCACCACCGCAAATCAATTACGACGATCAAACCTCACGACCATCCATCCTCAGTACCGTCGGTCCCCGTACGCCGCAAATCAGCACCGCCACCACCGCTAACAGGTTCGCTCTCTCACTCCCTTTCGCTCTGTTGCTCCCTCGCTCTCTGTCTCGCTCTGACTCTCTCTATCTCTCTCTCTCTCTCTCTCTCTAGATCTCTCTCTCTCTCTCTACTCCTTCTATTTCCCCAACTGTGAACTCTTGCTCTAGGGTTGTTTATTTTACCCATTCAGTTTAATTTTGTCTTCATTTCTGAAATGGGTTTGTTCTACCCTTTCCCCCTATTTTTCATTTATCTCTCATTAGTTTCAAAGCCCTAATCCATTGTATGTAATCTCATGTATTCAAAAATAGAAATTATCAAATAAAATTGTTATCAGTGGCAAGGTATGAAAGGTTGAATAATTTCTGGCTGTTTGATATGCATGAACGATAGTTCTGATTTATTGATCTACCTCTGCTTCTTAGGCAAGACGGGCATCATCTAGGAGAGAAGTCCTTCATACTGATTTTCTTACACCACCCATCTTGAATGAATCTATTATAGTATTGGGAAAGTTAGCTGACATCAAAGCAGTGGCTCGGGAAGGATACCCACAAGTTAATTGAATCAACAATTTCTGTTGGATTTTGTTTCAGTAAATATTTTCCACACTTATACGTTAAATATCTTTCAAGTCTTTCAGGCTAAGAGTTGTCATCTTTCAGTTGGACATCTGCAAGCATTTACAACCGATCTAGATATTGTTGCGGCATTAAGGCAAATCATTAAATGTGCATTATTCTTTGAGTGTATTTTTTTTTTTTTTTTTGAAATAAAAAACATTGTTTGTTAAATGGTTACTCTTGCCAGTATCACAGGAAACTTTAGGTTTCACCCTTGTTCTCATGGTGACTTCCTTGGCACAATTCTTGGTACGGGGATTGCTAGGGAGAAGTTGGGAGATATTATCTTGCAGGTATCATCTCCAATTAATTTGAGATATGCATTCATCATCATCATCATCATCATCATCATCATCACTGTTATCAGAACAAAATAACACTTGTAAAGATTTTTTGTCATTTAAACTGGTCATCGATACCTGTAATGGACAATGGATCCCTAGTACGATAATCCTTGCTAGAAACTAGGTTGGTAAAGGATGTTTTAATTATAATTTTCCTCAATTTTTGAGATTTCTTTTTTATTACCTAGCATCTTTTGATTTTTATAATCAAGAAATTATTATCATCCATAATGTACTCTTATGAATTATGTTTACGTTGATGCTTAATGATTGTCAGTTAGGTTTTAATATTCATCTGCTATGCCCAGGGAGAAAGGGGAGCTCAGGTTCTTATTGTTTTAGAACTTGTTGACTTCATCACAGCAGCATTGGACAAGGTAGTGATGCTTTCTTATATATAGCATTCCTATTCTTTGCCAATTTTTTTAATTTTTTTTGGTTGTAGTCTTGTAGAAGATTGACCTAGGAAAGAAAATATGTCTTAGTTTACACGTTCACATATTGTAACAGCTTTTGTGATTCTGTATTTGTAAAAGCTTTTGATTCTCTTTTTGGAAGAAAGAGGAGTGAGTTGACTATTTTCCTTCAAGAATAGGGATAAGAGTGGGCTATTGATTTCCCACTAAAGCTACCATCTCGGTTTGCTGAGAACCTTATTTGGATAGCAAGTTCTTCCACATTTACTTAATGGGAAAGTAAGGGTTTAGTTGATTAGGTTGGGATTTTTTATGTAGTCGTCCAAAAGGAATGGTTTCTCCTGTCAGTACAATTCTAAAATGAGTTTTACTCTTTCAAATACATTAGTAGTTCAACTATTCCTCATCATTACCATGCATGTGTCACCTGAATGTGTGCGATGCATGTATACAATTCCGAATTGTTACTCTTGGTTAAATTGTGAATTTCTGGTCATACAATGGCGAATCATTACTCTTGGTTAAATTGATTTGGTATAATAAATAATGTGACTAAATTTTTAAAACTGCAGTCATTTTCCACTGATTATCCAACACTTCAGATCTGTCAAAAGAAATTAAATTATTGAAGTTCATTATAACAAAGAAAAGTTACATAATCCAATTCCACTATAAGTAATGCCAAATTGAAACTACTTACAAAATCCACAACAAGTCGAATGACATGCTGAGAGAACTACAGTGCATTCTGAAGAAATCATTTATTATCAAAATTATGACTACTTCACGCAAGAACTCATCTGTTGGTCCATTCTCTAATTGCCAGTATTACCATATTTAGGATTATTGAAGTGTCTTTCTATTTTTAGAATTCTCTTTTTGATATAATTCAACTTTCTAAACACCAGATAAAGCTGGCCATAAATTATAAATATCATAAAAATATAAAACATTTAGTGAAAACCATTATATATCTATGCGGTAATGGTTCAGTCCACCATGGCCTTTTCACATTTTACAAATTGTTGGGCTTGTTTGAAATTTTTATGAATTTTTATGAATGTTTTCACTTGTTAGAAATTGTTGGGCTTGTTTGAAATTTTTATGAATGTTTTTTGAAATTGTTGGCCTCTCATAAATTTTTTTATGAATCATAGTCTCATAAATTCATTCTTCAATGTTTATACTGTTTCTTTTGACAGTTCCAATTCAATAATTAAGAAGGATTGGAACTTGTGGATTGATGCTGGAAAGAATGTGGTGAGGAGAGAGAATATAGAGGCCGCCATGAGGAGGGTGATGGATGGCGGTGATGATGACAGAGAAGGCTAAAGTGCTAGGAGAGATGACATTGAAAACTGTTAAAGGAGGTGGATCATCTCATAGAAATTTGACAGTGTTGATTGAAGAGCTTGAGCAGCTATGAAATCAAAGGGCTAAGGATCATTGAGGGTTATTACATTGTCTATGTCTCTGTTTTTCACTGCTTATTACATTTTGTTGAAATAAGGCATTCGAATGGCTTTTAATAGTTAAATTTTGTATATGGTTGGAAATTGAATGCTACAGATTGTGGAGAAATATTTTTATTGAATGGTCGAGAATTGAATGAATGAATGAATGGATGAATAATTTTGTATATGCACAGGTTTCAGATGGCGCAAAAAATATTACAGAACAAATTATAAAAACTAAATGAGACCTTTTGGCGACTAAACAAATATCACAAGTTGGCTTTTGGCTACTAAAATTTTAGTCGCCAATTGTGAAAAAGTGAAACTTTTGGTTATTAAACTTTTAGTCGCCAATTGTAAAAAGGAAACTTTTGGCTACTAAATGTTTAGTCTCCAATTCTCAAAAAGTGAAACTTTTGGCTACCAAAAATTTAGTCGCCAAGCATATATGCTCAATTGGCTACTAAATAATTTAGTCACTAAAAGTAAAAATATATATATTTAATTATTTTTAAAAAATATATGGCGACTAAAGTTTTAGTCGCCAATAGGTCATTTTTGGCTATCAAAAAATTTTAGTTGCCGATTGTTTCCCTGACAATCTATTGGCGACCATATAGGCGACCAAATATATTAGTCGGCAAAAGTGATTGGCGACTAAAAAATAGGCTTTTGGAGACAAAAATTTTAGTCGCCAAAAATAAAATTTCTTGTAGTGATAAAATGTATTAATTGGATTCTCAATGTATAAAAAGTGTTTTAAGTTAGTCTCCAAATTGTGTCTATTAATAATTAGATTTGGGGATTATTCATCAAAAATTTATTAAATTTCTATCATTTGAATTATATTAAATTTCGTATTTAATTAAGAAAGGTTGGCGCACTACTCCAACATAATCTGATGAACATCTAAAACTAACAAAATAAGCATAACACTTCCACTTCACACACACACACACACACACACACACACACAAAATAAAAAAATAAAAAAATAAAACTATGAAAGAATGAAAAATAAGGTACAGATTAGGGAGGAAGAGAAAGAAAGAATAAGAAAATCTTCTTTTGGTTGATTTTCCCTGGGCTCAAGTGCCTTACACCCAAATCCAAATTTATGTCTCAACCATCTATTGTTACGGTTTTTATTTGGTCTCTAATTTTAAAAATAAAAAATAAAAAATAAAAAAATAAAAAAAATTATGTTGTTCTCTGCTAGGTTTCTCATTTTATTTCTCACTCACTGGCCAATTCCACAACTTTTGGCCACTAAATTTTTTTTAGTCGCCAAATTTAGTCGCCAAAAGTATAATTTCCTGTAGTGTCTTCTTTCAACTCTTGCTTTTCCGAGTCTGCAATGTCAAATATTTGAATCCTCGACTCTAATTCAGAATTTCAGTTTAGGCTGCGAGCAAGCATTGCACTGAGAAAACAATGGAAGCCGAATGTCCAGATGCAGTCCTACCAGACTATGACCGTTGCATGCAGAAATCTTTTATTGTAGATGCGTTGGTGGAAGGCAAAGCATTCATGAATGTGTGGTCCAGGAAAATCTGTCGAAGTTAAGCACCTGCAAAGAGAAAAATTAAAATTAAAATAAAACAAAATCAAGTGGCTAAAACACTATGCATAAGGATACACAAGTAGAATTGATCACATGAATGTTAGTGACGAAGGTTTGTTATCTTTAAATAATGATTTCCCAAAGGTGAAGAAACTTAATTAAATGACTAACATCCCACATAAAATATGCCACATAAAGTTGCTACATACTACTTTCAGGGAAAAGAGAAGTTGGTACTTTCAGATAAAAAAACACCTATTAATTTTAAAAGGCAATACACAATTACAGCAAACTCAGCACAGAAAATCAAGAATGTTTTAGTGTAGGCTTACCCCAGCAATTTCCAAACTCAAATGCAACCGATGAGCCAGCTACATTAATTTTGGCATTGCATCTCCAAAGTAATGCTTGTCATTAAGTCACTGAATGTTGATAGTTGTACACAATGTTTTGATGAACAAAATAAAATAGAACACCAAGACATGGTTTTCTTAATTTTTGGGCCATTCTGAAAAATTAGCTACAGCATGAATTTGACTTCATGTTTAAAAAGCCTCAGAGACTTCATACAGGAAAGGTTTGCAACACTTTTAACATTATGTAACAACTGCATTATATATGTCTTCATGAGATCATACATTGTTATGAAAATTAAAATCAACAATATGAATTGCCCCAAATATTAGACTATTCAGTCAAAATCCAATCACTTAAAGCAAACAAGCCTCACATGCGCCTTTGATGCGTTATTAACAACAAAATAAGTATAATAGCTTTGATTCAAGAAATGAAAAATCAATTTTGTTGTCTGAAACAATCTAAATGAAACAACACCAACTCTTCTAAGAGTGACTCTAAGCCATACTCTTCATATTCCTCCTCTTCAAGCTGAAAGTATTCCTCTTCAAGCTCTAGCAACTCTAAGCCATACTCTTCATGTTCCTCCTCTTCAAGCTGAAACTATTCCTCTTCAAGCTCTGGCTCTTCTAATTCTGACACCAACTCTTTTGAGACTGACTCCAAACCTTGGCCAAACATTTCATATTCTTCCTCTTCAAGCTCTTGAGTATCTCCAAAAACCATTCCTCGTCCTTTTCCGTTTTCCAACTGAGCCTGAAAGGTATTTTTCAAAATATGTTGCTTCCCCTCTTAGCTCTTCCTCTTCCCAATTGTAATCAGGTGGTGTCACCAAACTTTCCTCATACATAATTGCATTCAAATCGTGATTATCAGTAGCCATTAGAATATCCCTATTTGAATTGTCATTAGGATTGTAAGCCGTTACATATCCTTCATCCACCCCTATGCAGAGGTTCATTATAACTTCATTATTCTTTGTAGAACACAATGGCACAAACCAATGATAGGAACAAAATACTCCGGCCAAATTCGATATCGTGAACATAACAGTCCAAGAGCTTTTCATACCATATTCCCTCATTGCCAATACCTCAACATTGCCTTCAAAGTTTCTAGGATTGTCGAAGCGAGTCATACAAAGACATCTATCTAGAGCTCCCAAACCAAGTATAATATCTCCATCTCCATCCTCATCCTTAGGCTGTGGCATTGGTACCTTCTTGAATTTATCACTCCGTGGATCAAAGGAAACGATTTGATTGGTTGAGAGGAAGTGACCCCAACTTTCCTTAGAGGCCAACCAGTGTAGATGTTCATTCAATACAGGCCCTGGTTTCACAGTACGAACGCTGTAAGGGAATTGGACATGTGTCCAAAGTTTGCTCTGAAAACTACCAATTACCATGAACTCACTACCGTAATCTGGACTCTCATGCGCAAGCACCATTACAGCCTTGTACTCGTTCCTCGAGGAATGAAAACAAAGCCCAGAAACAACATCATAGCCAGCGACACCCAAACGGTGATAAGCCAGGACTTTCTTCGAACACCTGGTGAGCGGGTTCCACAAGAACAAATCAGATTCAATCCGCAAAAGCAACAACCCATTACACGAACCCATGATTGCAATGTCAGCAAGCAAAGGTAACATTTTCTTCCATGGCCTACGAACGCTTTCAACGCGGTATTGTTGATCAATGGATTGCAAAGAAGATTTCAAGTGAGCTTTATAGACAAGAATTTTGGGTCGTCGAGCAGTTTTCGCATGATCTTGGATCAAAGAACGCCATTGCTTGGAAACGCAGATTGATCGGACGAGATATTTGCTGGGTAATCTTAAGAGTATGTCGATAAGGATTTCTTGGGCCAATTTCCCTCTTTGTGCCATTTTGAACATTTTAATCCCATTTTAGGGTGTACTTTTATTTTTATTTCTAAAGTAGGGTAAAACGGTTTTTGTAATGCCGTCTTCTAGAAATCGGCTTTCACAAAACCGTATTCATCGATTAAAATAATAATAAAATTTGAAAATGAAAACCGGCTTTAGTGGTTGTTTTAGTCAAAAAAAAATTAAAAAATTAAAAAATTAAAAATTATGAAAAAAATTAAAAAGTTAATAATTATATAAAAAAATTAAAGATTTCTTTTTCTCTCTATTTTTTACACATTTTTTCGTAAAAAGTCAAAAAGTCATTCTAAACATACTAATTTTTTTTTACTTCATATTTTAGTCAAAAAATTAAAAAATTACTAAAATATCATGTTCCTAAACGAGGCCTAAATATTTTACTAAATCTTTCATATGGGTGTGGGACCCACACACACTATGTGAGAGATTTGGTAGAATGTTTGATAATTCATTTGGAGTGTATAGCATTTTTCATATTAGTTATGCTAGAGACCCAAATGAATTACCAAATATTTTACCAAACATTTCACATGAGTGCGGGACCCACACAAATCACATGGGTGTGGGGTTTGGTAAAATATTTAGTAATTCATGTGATTAATAATACACTAATTAGTATATATAGTACCACCGTAAAATAATATATTATTTATTAAAAATATGATAATTATATTTAATTCTCGTATATTTTGTTTCTTGTAAATAAAATTTTATATATAAGTTTGAGGGTTTTGTTTTAAATATTTTTTTACTATAATTAGGGATAGCCATTTTAATCCAATCGGCGAGGGTCCGCCCATACCCATAGGGGTGGGGGCATTGTTGAAAAATTCCACCCGTAGCAGGGGTGGAGTTTGTCAACAGGGGGCGAGGAATGGCAAACTTGTCCCGAACCCGTCCTGTGGCCATCCCTAACTATAAAATATAGTATAGATAGATTAAAATTGTTGTACTAACAATTAATAATTCAAATTATGCGTTGTTACAAAAAAAATGACATAATTCTAATATTTCACTATTTTAGAATAAAAATATATGAATTTTAAAAAATTGCCCTATTGGTTTTTGAAAGTGAAATAATTAAAAAAATTTAAAAACTTAATGAGTAAGAAAGAATTATCGTAACATTTGAAACTGCTAAAATCACGGTTAAACCAACAAATCATACAAACCAAAAATGGTTTAGCTTAATCAGTTAGGTCAAAACACCAACGAGCTTACAAAAAAATTAATTAATTTAAACTTTTAAATTTTATTTTATTAAAATTTAAACTGTCACTAAATATGGAAAACAGTCAATTAATTTAAATTTAAAATTGACACAATATAAATTTAAAAGGATTTTTTATTGATAAATCTAATTTGGAGGTGTTTTAACCCAACAAGTTCACTAAGGAAAATTATAACATAATTGGTCTCATATATTTATACTTTTATTCCATGAGATCATTTTTTCCTGATTTACATTGTTTGTTGGATTATTATATCCTTATGTCTATTGTTGATATGTATTACATAAAAAAAAGATATACACATTTCTTTTTTTGTTACTGCCTCTATTTTGATAGTTACCATTATTCACGTTTTTCTTTTTGATCAGTTTTATTCACATTTGTGGTATTGTTCAATTGTGCTAAGTTTTCGAAACTTTTTATTTGGTAAGGTTTATAAACTCTAGTTTACATATGATAGTGAAATTATTATGTTCCTCTATTATTGCGGTGAAGCTTTGTGTTCATCCATTGTCACTTTGTGTTCGAAGTTCTGTGTTCGTCCATTGTTACTTTGTGTTCAAAACTCTATGTTTCTACATTGTTATAAGTCAAAACTCTGTTTATGTCCAATCAATTTTGTTACAAACATATTATTCAAAGCTGGGTTTGGTTTGATTTGGATTGGTGGAATTGTGAAATTGCATAAATTGTTAATGATAATGATAATGATAATGATAAAGATGAGGATGTGTGTGATATTTGTTTTTGTTTTTAGAGTGATTGAGTTTTTTTTTGGATTTCTAATTCTATTGTTGCTATTGATTTTATTTATTTTTTATCAATCAGTATAAATGTTCACATTTCACATTGTTTGAAAAGTTTGAGAAATAAGTGCTGGAATACAGATATGGACATAATTATACATTTTGCAGGATGTAAATATTCACATATCAATGGTTATTTGTTACTATACTTATTGTTTTAACGATCATTTTCTGTTACCATTAAACAATTGAAATAGTCGTTTCTTTTCTTTTTTTCCCTTTCAATTTTGTTTCATGTTGTAGCGTGAACGTTTACATTGGTATGAATTTAGTTTTTCTAAGGTTTGTTGTATATTAATTGTAAACATTCACATTGTATTTTTGGAGGAGTTTTTTTTTTTTTTTGAATTTTTTTGAATTTTTTTCAAATGTTAATTGTATTTTGTTATTTTTTTTACTATACTTGTTAGTTGACTAATCATTTTTGTTACCATTGACCAATTGAAATAGTCGATTTTCACTTTTTTCAATTTTATTTTATGTTTTCACGTTGCAGTGTGAATATTCACATTTGTATGAGTTTATTTTTTTTAAAACTAGTTATATATTAATTGTGAACTGTGAACATTAACATTATATTTTGGTATAAGTTTTATTTTTTTGAAATGTAATTGTATGTTTGTTATTTTTGTTACTATACTTGTTAGTTAAATAATCATTTTCGTTACCATTGAACAATTGAAATAGTCAATTTTTACTTTTTTTTAATTTTGTTTTATATTTTCTCATTGTAGTGTAAATGTTTACATTGGTATGGGTTATTTTTTTAAGGCTAGTTGTATTTTAATTATTAATTGTAAACATTCATATTATATTTTGGTATGAATTTTATTTTTTCAAAGGTTAATTGTATGCTTGTTATTTATTGTAAACATTCATATTGTACTTTAGTATGTGTTTTGTTTTTTCAAAAGTTAGTTGCATGTTTGTTGTTTATTGTGAATATTCACATTATATTTTGATTTTCATTCAGATATTTTGTTACGTTATTTTTAAAATTTTCAAACTATAAAAACATTCAACATTCATAATTTGATATTTTCTCTATGGAATGAGGGAGAGATTTTCTCCATGGAATAAGGGAAATATTTTCTCTTAGAATGAGGGAGAGATTTTCTCCATAAAATGAGAGACTATTGTTATGTATTAGTTTCAAAATAGAAACATGTACAAAAAATTAAAAATGATGATTTGATCATATTACATCAAATAAGACTTAATGGATTACTCAAAAGGGATATGGGTTAGATAGAACAAAACACTTAGAAAGAGGATTTATCAAAAAAATGACCCAATTTAAAATTATAATAATCTATCCTATAATTTATAAGTTTTAAATATAAATTTAAAATTATCATAATTGTCTCATAATTTTTATATTAAGTAGTAAAAGTGATTATCAATATATCAATATATTTTACAAAAGAATACTTTTAAGGAGAGATATTATGAGAGTTTCAAAATATCATATAAAATTATTTTTAAAATCTGTAACAACCCGAAAATTTAAGTTGTCACTTAAATTTTATACTAGTATTATGGTTGTATGTGATAATATATTATTAAATAAATAAATAATAATAATAATAATAATAATAATAATAATAATAATAATAATAATAATAATAATGGGTGTGGTAGTAAAATAAATAATTAATTTTCTGTTAGTATACGATAGAGTGTAATTTAATTAAGAATTAATTTATTTATATAGTTATATTAGAAAACTGGGCCAAAGTGTAATTATCTTAAATATTTATTAAAGATAAGTATAAATCTATATAATTTATGAATCAAATCTGTGGGAGGATTCGCTGGCCATGCGTTGGCCTGTCAATGCTCTTACCTCCTTATAAATAGGGAGGAGGTGCTGTGTGGGAACGAAAAAGAAAAGGAAAAGAAGGGAGGAAGAAAGAAAAAGGAAAAAGAGATGAAGGAGAAGGGAAAGAAAGGAAAAAAAGGAAGAAAAAATAATTGAAGCCAAGAGGGTCTTGTAGACGTCCTCGAACGCCCCGGGGAGGAACGAGCTCCCCGTTCCGTTCGATATTGGGCTCACTACAGTTCAAGACTCTCAAATTGTCACGGTTCTTAATCTGAACCAAAGAGTCCAAATCCGGCAAATCGTTTTGACAAAACAGATTTTGAAAGAAGTGCCAAACATGGACTGCTTTGCCAGATACAGAGTCGCCACCTAAATATTTTGTTTTGGGAAATTTAGGAAACCCTGACTCGTTGCCTAAGGCCACGTGTCCGTCATCGCCAAAGTTGCCTCGGCTCGGGAACTTGGGTACGATTGGGGAAGGTCACTTCGTGAGCACCCCCGCTCGCTCGATCAAAGATCGGCCTCTGCTAACCATGATATCAAGTTTTGAAAACATTGTGTGTTCTTATTCCGGTTATTAGCCTAGATTTACTATGTGATGCACACAGCATACAAGTATAGACTAGAACGCCTGAATTGGAACAAAACATTTCATGTTTGTTTATTTGAAAATGGCTTGATGGTGCTACCCGCAAGTAGGCTAAGACGTGGATTTGTCACCCTCAGGTGGGCTTAGAAAACATGATTTTGCCACTATCTAGTGGGTTTAAAACTCACAGTCAATGATTTGTTCCAATCCAAATAACCCAACCTTCATCCACAGGCATTCAGGCAGTTATATCACATAAGCATATAGCCTCATGGTAAGCATGCTATTCATGGCAGTCACTCACACGCATGCAAGGATGTTAAAGCATAAAACTCACCGAGTACTCCAAGCCAAAACAGAAGCTAATTAGAAATCCATGCATGATCCTAATTATACAGAAATGCCTAATGCAACACATGCAAAAATGCAACTATAGCAGGTTCGGCTATTCTAAACATGGCATATGAAATGCTATAGCTAACATGTATTCAACTTGGAATTGAAAATACAATGCAGTTAGTATGATGCGCCGAG